ACATGTCATTGGAAGTAATCTACATCACTCGCCATGGAGTAAGTATACGTCTTCCCCTTGCCCTTTTTTGTCCAGTCTTCTTTCGTATCCGGCTTCATATCCGAAACAAACGTTCCAACGAGAATGAGCAAGGCGGAGAAGATGGGGGCTTCGCGAAAAAAGTTCTCTCATGACGCTTCTTACCTATTGAACCCATTCATCGCCAAACCAAAACACCCTGGTACTTGATAGGGATCCGCGGGCCATTTTCTCTCGTCACGCCGTTGATGCTGGCCTTGCTACCTTGGTTTGAGGAAGAGAATTTCATTCTGACAAATGGCCTTGGCGTTCTTCAGTTCCGGTCCAACTGGCTTGTCGACCCTGCTACGGGAAGCTACACGGCCTCTATCCCGTCCCCGACAGGAATACCTGCGGATCCGGAATTGACTGCCCATGGCGTCGACCAGGCCAAAGAGCTGGGCGCCCACCTCCTGACCGTTGAGCCTCCAATCGACGCAGTCTATTCCAGCCCCTACTATCGTTGTCTGCAAACCATCACGCCCTTTGTTACCCTCAACCAGGAAAATATCAACCGCCTTCGGGGAAAAGACGTTGGCGCTAAAGCCGATGCTGTCACCATTCGTCCCGAACACGGGCTCTGCGAATGGTATGGCGCCGCTCCATTCGAGCACCCGGCCCCGGCCTCAACCGACATCTTGAAGCCAATGTTCCCTCACATCGATGACACGTATCAGAGTCGCGTCCTTCCCGCCCGCAACGGCGAGACTATCGCTCAATTGCACGACCGTGTCGCTGCTGGTGTACAAGCCATCATTGACCAATGCGACGCCCAGGGCCACCGCGCAGTGGTTCTGTGCTCCCACGCTGCCTCAATTATTGCCCTTGGCCGAGTGCTTACTGGCGAAATGCCCGAGAGTATTGATGCGGAAGATTTCCGGGCCTTTACCTGTGGGTTAAGCATGTACCGGAGAAAATCGCCCTCTTCTTCAGCAGAAACTCCAGGAACCGATGGTAGGATTTGAACCCCTACGTCATCATCAGGCTATGGGGCTCCACGACTGACAATGGAACCAACAGGCACCACCGCGGATACCAGGTCATGGAGAAATGGTCGGGGAGTTGGAGGCGGGTGGGTATGTGAGCTCAACAGCGATTGCAGCTTTTTGAGCCGAGGAGAAGAGAGGGGATGGTAAGATGCATTTCCCGCTCCAACCCGCACCCACGCGCGCGCCCTGGCTGAGATCAATCCAATGGGACCTCGGCCGGCCCTCACCCTTGCTTTTGCCCGACACCCACCGAGGGGCCGCCCCTCCCTATCTTTTCTTTTCCTTACCCGTATTTCCTCTACCACCGCCCGAGAATCTTCGGATGATGTCCTCGGAAGAATGCTGACTTAAGTAACCATCTACAGGCGATTCTCAGGAGACGAGTCCTTTTCCACGGCCGAAAAGTCTTCGCAGGCCGACGCTGGAGTGGCGCTCGGCGTGGTGGTGGAAGGAAAAGTGAAACCTAACAAGGTCTCTCCCCACAGAGCTGCAGGTCATCATCGTCTCTAGGAATTGGCTCATTGGCGGCGTGCTTCGTCATTTGCATTGCGGTCTTTCTTCTTTTCATTCTCAGGATTCTCCAAAGGGCAGTTCCTCGACGGGTCGCTCAGAAGGGTCGAAGGCTGCGACAACGTTCTAGTCCTCCAGCCTGACTAGAAAGTAGAAACCGATCCGCACCATCCGTCCTTGCGGCCGATACACGATGGCAGCTAATGCCGGATAGACTTGCCTAGCTGCTGCGGGATGCATCATCTGCATGTCTCTGGCACGGGCTGGGTGCCATCAAATCTGCGAGCCAGTCAGCGCAGCGGCTAGCCCCGAATCCATGACAGAAAGACCCCTGTCACTTTCATCTTACAGCTGCCACACCATTTCATCGTTCCATCTCTTCAACTTCAACTGCTCACCCATTGCTCTTCATTGAATGCCTTCAGCACACGAACTGGCGCCTGAAAACCCACCATGAAGCACACAGCTCCTCCTCCTACCTTCACCGTCTGATCTTTGCCTACCGAGATCGGCTCCTTCAGCTGAAGAAATCCAATTTCGCATCTGAGGCAGCCATTGGCGCTCAATGTCTATCCTGTGTCATGAGCACATGCAAGACGCTCGACGTGCCTGTATCTTGCGTCTCGTCTCGCCTCGCCTTGCCTCGCCGCTGCCGTCCACTGAATGGTAACCTGGTTTCGATCCCTTGACATCTTGGCTCATGAAGGTCTGCGCGGGGTGTACTGGCGAGAGCTCGAATATCGGCTGATTCCTTATCACAGTGCAGCTCAGCGTCGCGGATCCGTGTCCGCTTCCGTGCCCGCCACCTTCAGGCTCCGCAGCCTCGCTCATTGCTCGGTCCCTGCTTGAGCCCCGGGAAGTGGATATTCGTATACAGAATAATAGCAATAACGAAATGAGTATCAGATCTGGTACGACGCTTTGCTGAAGAAAACCAACTTTGGCATACCGTGCCGCAGGCATGCCTACAAAGCAATCTCTCTAAATCTGGGACAATGTTCTTCTGTCGTTAATACGGTCAAAGGACGCAACAATATCAACCGCCCGCTTGCTATTGTCAAGCTCAGCTTCTCGGTCGATTTCGAATCACCGTTGTCCTAGAAGCTTTAGACTAGCGGCTGCGTGGGGTCCGATCGGTGCCGGATGCATCTTCCGAATCGCTCACCTAGTGTCCTTGCCGAGACCCTAGCATCATGTTCGGATCTGGCTCGAAGTTGGCCTCCCTAGCGGTGTAGGTTTACACTATTTGACTTAGCTGGTCAACGAGGAGCGTTCCTGTTGAGTCTAGCAAGTACTTCGTACACGGGGCGTACTGTTAGTGGCCACGACAACTCTCAACTCCTTCACAACACCATCGATTTCGCCAAGCTGCAGTTCTTGAGGAGCTCATGATCATTTCGCATATGTCAAAAGAGCGGTGGACAAAGGTAGCTTTGCGTCAGCGCGAGCTAGGAGGGTCGGATAGGGCTCACCGTCCTTGTGAAGAGCTCTTTCATGGACTAGGCCTCGAGGGTCTATTGCCATGTGTACGACTGGGGATGGCAACATTGTTTAGTCCGCATGTGCGTCTTGCAGGGAAAGGAAAGTACAGCCTGGCCTTGGTTCGACTGCAGAAGAGGTGATGGTGGAGGGGTGTGTGACGTGCTTTGGAACTGCTGAAATCTCAGGGTGTTACCAAGATGGCAGACAATGCTAACCAAGGAGAGGATTCTCAATCGGGCGGCATGCTTCTGTCGATCATGGCCCATAGCCAGCCGCGAGCTTGTCTGTTTCGGAATTTCAATGCGGGTATTGGCCTGACGAGGTTGATGGTCAGGTTCCAAAAGGAAACAGGAGAAAAACAACTACGGGTAGCCACACGTCCGCAGGGCGAATGAGTTGACGTGGTATTATTGCCAACAAAACACGCGCTGGGCTAGCAAAACCGTATGCAATGAACAGAAACGGGCAACCCAAGATATTGCGGCCGAGTAGCTCCACGAAGTCCCTCTTATTAGCCCCAAGGCTGATACGAATACAAGAGAGAATGCAAAGGGTTCGGCGGATACACCGGGTACAACGGGATATCGGTGCTAACACACATATCTCGTGGCTTACGTTCCATCCGCGAGGCTTCTTTTTGCTCGTTCTCAGCAAGGGATTTGCATCCAGGCATTTCGTGTGTGGTGGTACGAATGCCGCCAACAACCGGCAAGCACATTTCCCAAGGTCAGGGCCATTCAAAACGAGCCAGTATCATAAGGGGCCCCCTTCAATCATGTGTGGTACGTTGGGCCAATTTGCGACGCAGAGTAGGAGGCTGTGAGATGGGCAAGCCAGCCCGATGCGACGGTTTGCAGAACTTCCTCCAACAAGTCAGAACCGTGCCCGCGATTCGAGGTGGTCCAAGAAGAATCAAGCAACTACATGGGTTCGAGATGTATTTCTGGGGCGCAAAGGGTCTTCTCACTAACGAGTCGGCTGGTTCGAGTCACAAAGTCGTCAGAGCGTTTGAGCGGTAAAAGGCACTGCGAAGAGAAAAAAAAAAGAAAGGCGAATGCAGCGTGGCGAACCCTCCTGCATCTCACACTCGACAAGGCATCGTCGCGTGGCTTCAACAAAGGGAGGAAGATCCCTGAATTTGACGGCAGGCTCGAGTTGAGTCTAGTGAAGAGTCCAGACGAGACGAGACAGGCAGGGTAATAAGATACCTCTCTGGCTCTATGGAATAAGAAACCTGGGGTTCGTTGGTTGGCCAGAGGGTGATCCGGCCGGCAGCAGGTTCGCAGATGAGTGGGCAGCAGAGCTGCAAGTCAACACAAGAAGACCGTTACGGCATTATGCTTACCATAGACCGAGTCTTGCGGAGAGTCCGGGTGGCAGCGGGTTCTCCACCTAGAGACAAGTGTCTTCGCCAGCCCAGCCGCCATCTGTGGTCATCGAAATCTGCGGCGGCCAGTGGTTTCTTATTCCTACCGACTCGAATCATGGTGAAGATCCAGATTGCTCATTATGGAACACAGCTACGTACTTTTGGGGGGGACTCTTGACACCATCACACCCCTCCCCCCCTGGTCAGCGCCAAACTAAGTGTACGCAACCCTGCCCGCCTGCCAACCTTTCCCGCCTCTTCACCAGATTATGGCACCCTCGTCGGGCGGGCCCCCGCAAGAGAATGAGCGGGTTGTCGAGACTCGACACGACGGCGGCCCCACAAACCGTCTTTCCAGACCCTGGAAGGCGGCGGTAAGGCGGCTGCAGTCGACGACTACCGCGTGGCCATCCATCGGCGGCCATTTATCGATCCCTCCATCTCATCAGCGGGTACAACGTAGCGATGTGTGTGTCTCTCCCAAATCAGAAAGGTATCTCGAGCAACAACGTGAAAGATTACGATGCGCATTTCCTGCGAGATTTGAGGCGGGTATGTGAGTACGTGTGTGTGGGGGGGAGAGGTAGGTGGGTGACCAAAAAGACACTCAATTCTGCATCCCAGAATCACACCGACTTTGGCTTGACGCCGAGGACTTGCCGTGGAGTGAGCAGGCCATTCTGCAAACACAACACATGGATGGCGGTTCGGTGAGGTAGGTATTGGGCGGTATGGCAGGGGTAGGGGAATGGGGGATGGGGGAATGGCCGTTGCAAAACGACGACGACAATGAGCCACGAACGACAATCAGAGCAAATGCTGTTGGACACAGCCTGTCTCCAACCCAAAATCGGAGGGGGAGGAGCAGAAGGATTATCTATTATTGCAATCATGGGTTCCAGAGTCCCGGGACGGTGGACGACAATGGTCCAACCGGTGCACGGCTGCCAATCTGTGGGAGTCCAGCTTTTGGGGGCCCCCGAGTCCATCCAATGACAGTCTCGTGTTGGTCCAACAGTAAATGATGGTTGAAGTCACACGAAGCAAAGCAGACATGGCATATGCCTGGCGGTTCCTTGCTCACCTCAAAGTCTTTACTGTCACGGCTGTGTAAAGAGCAATGCGTAACCGACAAGGGCGGAGAGCGAAAAAGAGGCACGGACGACGATGAACTTGTGTGTTTATCTCCACCTTATACCCACACCTCGAAGTGTCCCGATCGAGTATCCAATCGTTCGTTATTCGTCTCTGCTACGTCCGGAAGACAGTGGAACTCGCGGCTTGGCCCCCGAGCGACTACCACCTCACGCACCAGTTGTGACGCGCAGCTCGATCTAAGACTAGCGCCCCCGGAGGAGAATATCGACTGTGCAGCAGGTCCCGAATACCACCTGCACTCGCATCCACACGGGCTCAGGCTCGCCCTCGCTCGCTTGCCTCTCGCTCTGAGTCTGGGCTGGCACGGCCTGGAGTGCCTGGATCCTGGCTGGGCTGGTCTTGCAAGCTTGCAAGCTTGCACTGGGTGGAGGGGCACCTCGGGCAGCGGCTGCACTACAGATGGCACTATTCCCCTTCATTACCCGGGCCCTCCACGGAAGACTGAAGTAGGTATGGGTACGGAGTACTGTGATGCACTCTCATCTCGACTATTGGGCTGCTTCGTCGACTGGAGCAACTCTCTCTCTCTCTCTTTCTCTCCCTTGCAAGCTGTCCATGATCTCGCAAACCACCCCACCTATTACCTGCGGGCGCTGTCGCTTCCTTCGATTCCCTCATTCACGCCTCCCCGTCCGAGGTCTCACTCTCTCCTCTTCTTTGCTAGGCACTGCTGTTGCTGCTTTCTATTGATCCTGCTGCCATCAGTTGCATGCCCGCGCTCCATCCTCGTCATTCCCAAACAGGCCACGACCCTGTTTGCTACATGCCTCCATTCAAAGGCGGTGGCGTCAGGACGATGGTTCTCCTGCAACGGCATGCATTACACAATTGAGGGGGGAACACGGGAGGAAAGCCACCCATTGACGCACCCACAACTAGGTAGGTCACTACCTAGGTACTTGGAGGTTGGAAGAGAAGCGCGCATCCTCTCCAAGTCTCTCTCACTCTCTCAGAGTCTCTCCCCTAGGTGACGAACCAGGATCTTGACCCTGGATGAGGGGCGCTCGGCGCCAGCCAGACCTGACAGATTGGGCGACCTGCATGATACATGCCATGGATCTACACATTTGGTTGCGTCTGCACATTGCCTGCTTTAGCACCGAAGAAAAAATAAGAAACGGCTTTTCGCTGTCAGAAGCCTCCGAGCGGAGCCCCGATCTCCCTGGCCCTTGCTTGGAGCTATAGAGATAAACCTGGTCTTCAACTCAACCCCATCGAACCGGGGTCCTGGCTCTTTTCTTTCTCAACCGTGTGGAAAGAAGAGTGTCCCAGAGAAAAAGAGATATAACAGAGACAGAGATCCATCGCGGCCGGGAACTTGATAATCAGGGTCTGACCCGTTGTCGATGACTCGTCTTGTTTCTTCCTCCCGATCAACACACACCTTTCGCCCCCAAAGATCTCACACTTTCAACGTTGTTGTTCCTTGATCAAGATCTACGCAAGTGTTAGGCATCATTTCTGCCTTTCTTCTCTTTTTCTGGCTTACGCTCTTGGTCTGAATTATCACCTTCACTCGGACCTCGACGTCTACTACCTACAACATCAGACAACATGTTCGTCAGGTTACAAGAACACCAAGACGGTATGGACAGGCTGCCGCCTCCGTCAACCATGAGCTACCACCAGAGCCGCACCGACGACATACCAAGAGTACTACCAAGTCTCTCATCATTCAGCTTCGATGACAGGATGGACGTGGACGCTCGTAACGATACGAAGCCGGGCCAGCGTCATGAGGTGGAAGTGGCAACAACGTTGGCCTCCATGGCATCATTCAACATCAAGTCGCCTACTCTCCCTTCTCCCACTCAGAGCTTTACCTCAATCAAGTCAGATGGTAGGATCAAGCCTTTTCATTACAAGTGTTATTCGTGATAGGCTTTGAAGCTTACATCAACTTCCAGCCATGACGAGATCAACAAACTCTCAATTCTCATCTCCTGAGCCGCGGTCACCAGACCTCCCTTCCGTCAACAGCCAACTTTCCTTCACCAAGGATAGCACGGCACAAATTACGCTCCCCCGCCTTCGTGAACTGGATCTGCGGCTCCCCGAGCCCGAATTCGTTCCCAGCCCGAGCTTCATGCCGTCGGCGATGACCGGAGGGCCTCGCCGAAGTAGTATCGACTCCCTCGGCTCCTTCCAAGAACCCAGGATGGACCTCTCTTCACCAACAGCCTACCGAATCCCGATGCCACCGATGGCCTACCCGGACGCTCTCCCCTCGCCCACCTTCAGCAACTCCCACCGCAACCCCCTCTCGCCACCCAGCCGCCGTCTCCAGCACAGGCTACCGGTAACCCTCCGGACCGGTTGCAGCCCCAGCCGTCGACCCCGCCGCTCACCAACGGGCTCCCGCTGCAATGTGAAGTACACGATCCAGCAGGTCGACTTCATCGACTATTTCCGCGTCGACCACCACCTGTCCTGGAAGGAGGTCGAGGCCAAGTACGCCTCCGTCTTCCCCGAGGACGCCGCAAAGGGCCACAAGCGCGGGCCCCAAGGGCTCCAGGGCGTCTACTACCGCAAGAACAAGCAGATCCCCGCGACGGATCCCAACAACCTGCTCGTCTTCGACGAGGACGATAACCCAAAGACGTTCCAGTGCGACGTCCGGGAGCAAGGGAAGAAGATGAACAACTCGATCGGTCTGTTGGGCATGCACCCCGAGCGCGCCATCACCTACGCGTGGGTTTCGGAAGAGCACAAGCGGCAGTATGACAAGCTTGGTAAGTTGTTTTTTTGACAGCATGGAGACGAGCAATGGAACTAATGTGTATACCAGGTCGCGCAAGACAAGCTCAGCTCAACGACGCGGAGACACGGAAGAAGAGGAGACGAGCCATTCAAAACAGCCGTCTTTGAATCGTCTTCTCTACTCTTTAGTTTTCTCCCCGTTCTCTCTCAAGTCTGCACTTTACTTCTACTCATGATATCCAACTCTTTTTTAACTTCATCCTTTCTCTCATTCTTATTCCCTCTGGGGGGACCTATATACTTCACACTTTGAGGAAAAGCTGCACGAAACAGCCCCTTGACAATCTCGCCCAAAAGAAAACACGGAATACACAAAACATCACGCATTAAGCGTGTAATCATTCTTCTATCCAAAAGTGCAGGAGACAAAAAAAAAAAAAACTGGGTTTCAGAAACAGGATAGTACTTGTGTACGATGACGAAAAGAACAACAGTAACTTCGTTTTCCCCCCTCGTCCGACGAAGGGGTGGCGGTGGTTGGAGGCGTTGAACAAAGCAACATGGAAGTCCCTTTTTTTCGGTTTTCACTTCTTGGTTTCCCACTTCCCTACATGATGGTCACGGTACCAACGGGGGTAAAAGCTGGGCAGGCTGCTTTTTTTCACCATAGGGGCGGCACAGTAACAGGCGCAGGATACGCCGAGCAGCAAGAGAGGGAACTTTTGGAGAGGAAGGAAATGGGGTGTGTGGTGTGTTTGTGTGTGTGTGTGTGTGTGTGTGTGTGCATGGATCAAGATAGCATGGAACATGGGATCAATGGGATCAAGGGAAACGTTGATGACAAGGAGTTGAAAGAGAAAGCATTATTCATTTTACTGTTGTTCTGTTTGTTAAAACTACAATTCGGGGCGAAAAAGAAGATACCAGTGTGGTGTGGCGCGTTGTGTGGAAAGGGAAGGGGGGTGCGGATTGTTTCCTAGTCGGAGCACCTCGGCGAAGATTTAGAACTATGTCTTTTTTTTTTCTCTTCTCATTCATCATCCTTTTGGTTCTTCACACATGGTACGTGGGGACTACGATATACGAAGTGTGTCCACAATGCATTTTACAATGGGATTATGAAACGTCAAAGAGGGTGGGATCGGGTTGGGGAGACGAGAAGGTGTTGGGTGCCTGATTGCTTGTCTGGGGGCCACACTTAGAGATTTTGGTTGGTTGGTTGGGGGTTTTCCTGGAACACGGAAATAAAGGGATTAGTAGATTTTAGAAATCACGACGGATTAAACCACAAGTTCAAAATAAATCCAACGTCTTGCTGCGAGTCTGAAATAGACGGTTTGTGCGTGTCTCCCATCATCCCATTCTAGGGTTCTAGAAACCCATTGTTTGGTTTGCACGGACAACAGAGACGGGCCGTCGGATCTTGTTCTCGACGTAATCCGCCTTATGGGGATTTCGAGGGAGAGGTAAATGTGAGACGAGGCGGATGCCAAAAACGGTTGGTACACCATTGTGGGAATTTCGTCCTTTGAACAACGATAGACTGTTGTTACTATTGTCTTTCTCCCGCCTGAAACTGGGTGATCTCTGCCCTTGGGCCAAGGAGGATTAGGCGAATGGTCCGAGGTTATCCATTGTCGAATCTCACAAACATTACCCATTGACATCGAATTTGGATTTGATGGGGTTCCCCATCCAGAATTGCTTGCAGCATTAGCGCTGTGCTGCAGAACCGTAAAGAGAATGCTGCGAGCATTGGTCTGCAGAGTATTCTAGAAATATTGGCCCGGCGTCTGCGGCAAGGTCCGTACGCAGAAATATCCTTGGAACTGGGTGGGTGGTTTGGGCGGTCTGTCTGTCTGTGTCTCAGTCTGCCTTGTCTTTCCTGTCCATTGTTGGTCAGGTAAATGTACGTACGCGTGTTTGCAAGCTCAGGTTTGTCAATCTTGACCGGGCTGGCGGTCATGGTGCATGTTGTGCGCAGCTGTCACCGGCTTGTCATAGCGGACAGTGTGACGTGAGTTGACTGGGCTGTAATGCATAGAGGCTGATGTACGGCTGGAAGTTATGTATAGGTTGACAGCATGATGATCTCCGGCCAGAGGCAGCGGCGTAGCAAAACCAAGCGGCCGTAAGGGGTGGGCCATTCTTTCTGCGGCGGCTTGTGTCCTCGAAATAGGGACGGCGAACCGTCACGTTGGCCTTTTGTGAACGAGTTTGGCAGACAGTGACAAGCTGGGGGTGGCGTAGGTGACCAGAACGCTAATAGGATCGATGCAAGATGGCGGTGGTGATGAAGAATCTTAGAGATGGTGGCGTAGATGGGATACTAGCTTCGTTTCTGCCCCTCTCAAATAACCTGGAAAGGAGGTGAACCAGACAGTTGGGACCGTTACGCTGGTGGATTTCTGTACGAAAGAGAGGTAACAGGGTAACGAGGTACTGGATTCATCTGTCACCCGATGTCCTTAGAATGGTGCTTGTTGGAAATGGGGTGTGTTGGGGGGCCATTTATCTGTTTGCTTCGATGTTTGCTTCACGTTGCTGCGCTCAGCCATCTAAAGGAAGCGCTGATTGCTGTTGATTGCTGTCTTCATGTGACGACTCCACACCCTAGACCGTTCTCTCTTGGAGAATTGCGTATCGTTACTGTCTACACAGAAACGCACCGTTGGGTAGAAGGTCGGGTTCTTCACATTGTGGTGCATATTCTCGAAGTTTGCCAGTCACACCTGAGGGGTGCAGTCGGTGTTGTTTGTCAGACGCCCTAAGGCGGTAGACGTTCGGACTCGGATCTGCCGCGTCCCTTTCTTTGACGACGGTCTCCTTGTTCTCTCCTTCTTTTCCCATGTCAATATCCTGGCTCCTTTCTTGCCTCTCTGTATGCCTCGTGGACCTGCAGGGGCGGGTAGAGTATTGGTTGGTGAAGATGGTGACCCGCTGCATATTTGCTATCAACGACAGGGCTGGGTATCTCCAGATATTATCCCGCATCCAACTTGCGGTTTCGAGGGCAGAGGCTAGTCTGGGCTGCTGGCTGCTGGCACGGGGACGTCCATCTCCAAAGCGTTCCATCCTTCAAGAGTCGGGCAGTTTGCTTGTTTGCCTTGGCGTTCTCGCTCGACGCGATGGTCATCCTCATCCGGGCGTGGAAGCTTTCTCGAAGCGATATGCTGCCAAACAAGGTGCTGACAGTGCGTGTCTTCAACAAACATCAACGCTCGTCCTAGTGGTGTTTTCGACGTTGAACCGGTGTGGTCTACAGCCACCCCCTCCCTACCGCCAAGACCGGAGAGACGGGAATGGTGAACATTGAGCATTGTTCTGGGATGGAAGTGGGCCGGTTAGATGATAACCTTGTAACTTGTGTTGGACGTCGGTCCATGCAGTGTTTTTGAAGAATGGTCTTGGCTCACCAGGTAGGCGAGGAGAACAAGCCGCGAGAGGCGAAACGTCCGAAGCAAAAGTAGAATCTGTGTTGGAACAATGTGGCATGGTGGAGGCTGAAGATGACGGATTTACCTGGGCTCCCCCTGACACCGGGGGACGTTGTTGGTTCTGCAAAGGCGTGAAGAATTTATCCACACTGGTTTAGTTCCGGGGTGGAGTGGTCCGTCCTAGTTCCAACATCAACCGGGTAGGCGTAACTAAGCCAACGGGCAGGCTCCTTCCTCGGTTATCACCACGATCCTTCGTCTCCATTAAAATGGGGGCTAGGAACGACATCCTCGTCAGCGCCCTCGAGCACCCACATTCGCTGGCGCGGAAGGAAGCCGGAAAGTCAGGCGGGCCCTGTTTGCTGGAGCAAAGTTCTGGAGACCGGGCGAGTGTCTGACTGTCCGTATCGAGATGGGTTTGTATTTGACGCTTATCTCAAAGTTTGTAATAGCATCTAGTAGTGGATGTTGTAAGTGTGTAATATGTGGATATGCAAGCAACATCAAGCTTTTGGCCCTTCAGAGGGAAAAGAGTGGGCGCAGACGTGATGAGACATAGCCCGTGACCTCTTCTTCTGTAATTCGTTGAGAGAGGCCTGCTGTCAAAACAGTTACGGCTGCTCGTGTGGGTATCCATCATGGGGAAGACTACCTGGCTATTTGAAATACCATCGATCGGTCCATCAGACCTGGAGGTCTATCAATGCTGGCTTGGATTCAATTTTGACCACGAGATTCCTAAGACTAGAATTCCCAATTGCTTTCAGCCCCTGCAAAGTTAAAAAGGAAAAATTAATGATAATGATAACGATCAATGGAGAAATAAAAAAGAAGAAAGGGGGTTGGGGGATACTGACTCTAGAATTCACGCCCCTGTCCGGATTCGAACAGCGCGCCCCTCGATCCAGCACGGAAGTCATTGGAGTATTTGTTTTATATCGACTCTGCGTCAGAGCCGATACCACTGAGCCAAATCCATAATGTTAAGTCATGAATCTGTCTAGTGGGTGCTGGTGACAGTAACGGCTTTGGGATGGAATATATACCATCCAGAGGTTGAGGAAGGTCCAGGTACGTACTCTACTGCCCAGGACGCTCCTTCCGATCACACTGCTACCTACCTACTTACCCAGCCAAGTGATGTTCCAGTCAGCGAGGTACGATGAGCATCAAAAGTTTATCAGGGAGGTACCGTTGGTGGCTATATTTTGCCTGATCAATGATTCTACGTCGGTGTAATTCCAAGGGGGTGAGAGATATCTCAAGTGTGATGTTGCTTGCGACCAATGTACACCCGTTCTGGCTATCGACTTGAACAGGACAGGATGTCTTAACCTACCAATGACCTGTTCAATTCCATCACGTCTAGAAATTCAAACAGACAGTGTGTCATTTCACTGGCAAGTCTGGCAGCAATCAAGTCAACTTCATAGGACTTAGTTCTCTTGATCTACTATAAACGACGCATCTCTGTGTAAGGAAACATCATAGTCATCGTAAATCTGGCTCCTGTAGCACTGCTCATCATTAAATTCTTCATCTGAATCTATACTCGTGATTATTACGGAAAGGGAGCCTTTGGCTTGTCCATGGGCTGTAGTCCGAAAATGTCATCAGACTTGATTGGCATAGTCTGGTCGTCGGAGTCCGCGACGACCTCGCCAAACAGAAAAGCGTTACGTTCCCTGCTGATGTTCCCAGATGGCTTCTTGCGGTGCACGCCTCCTGAGCTCGACTTGGGCAACTTGGGCGGTGACGCGGTCTGGGCGGATTGGTCTGGCTCGAGCATCCAAGAAAAGGAAGATTGGGCGAGGGTTGATCGTGTCGGGATTGGCGGTTGGGGTCGTTCCAATGGCTTCATCCGAGGCGCGTCAGCTTTCTGGCTTGATACCAGAGCTGACGGATGTTCAGCTGGTTTGTCTGCGGGTTCCTCTTGCGTAATGTCCATGATATCGGGAATTGTTGTTTTCGAGGTCGAGGGTCTCGTCTTCTCCTGATCTTCCAGGGACAGTGTCGAAATAACACCTGACACACTCTCCGCGGCGACCGCCGCTCCTAGCACAGCACTATCGTTTGCGTCTATTTCCATCAGGGTCTCGTTGTTTGCCTCCTCCGGCGGTGGGCTGGTGAAGCCCTCGAGATTTGGTACTTCGATCGTCGGGTCTTCCAAGTAGACCTTTACGAACTGCACCTTAGCAGCCGCTACTTCAACAAGCTCCAACGTCTTGACCTTGTCGTCTAGATTAGTAGTGGCCAACGACCTGAGACTTGTCACTGTCTCGTCTAGCATGTTGGCCAGCAATTTATTACGTTGCTCTATGGCAGCGATGGCCTGTGCCGCCGAGTCATCGCCTAGTAGGTGCTTTGCCATCCGAGGGGGATAGCGTACTTCGTTGAGCCCTTGCATGTTTCTTTTGATGTCGCCCATGGCGTCTCGTACAGCTTGATTAATGCCGAGTTTCTCGCCTCGCTCCAATACGCTTTTAGCAGCGCCTTGGAAAAGTGCCTCTACACCGCCCTGCTGTTGGATAAACCTACTCGCAGACGGGATCGGTGACTGGCCACCTTTGGTTCTATTTCTGAAAGATGAGAAAGCTTGGCCCATTGGTGTCGTGGGCCGCGAACTGCTGGCAGACTGTGTCGTGCTGGGCATTTTCCCGGTGTATTTCAGAAGGAGCGAAACGCCACCGGAGACATTGAGGTGTGTTTTTAGATACACCGCATCATCCACAAAAGTATGCGGTCCATGAGGAGCGTCTGGTGCAGGGTATTTGAGAAGCAATTGCAAACAAACGGAGTAGTCCGCCTCGAGTACTGCCATTGTTCAGTTCCAGCGACGTTGGGGCAACCTGGAAACACTTACAGCTCCAGCGGATGCGAAGAAGCATTGCGACACAAATCAGATCTATCAAGCTGAGGGACGGATCGACTGCAAATAGAGTATCCCATAGCACGAGCATTTCATCAAATGGGAACTCGCGACCAAAGAGAAGGCGAATCCAGCGGCTGCGATGTGTCAGTGGAAGTCAACGTTAGTGAATATGGTCAACCCACATCAGAAAGATCTGTGGCAGAATCTCAATGTCTTTAAGATGGCTGGCCAGCTCAGGATCAACCTTGGCCAGTAGAACCTCATGGATGTGTTTGCTCTTCTCGACGATGGCTGATGTTTCCACGCGCTCTTTCGAGGCGGACGCCAATGCCGCCTTTGAGATCGAGTCTTGGACTTCATAAAACGACCTTGCCTTCTCCATGATCTTGGAGAATAAGGCGAACGCGTCGTGCTCAATGAAGGAAGAGTCGAGCATGCCGAGCATCGTCTCGTCGACACTTGTGCCATTGGATGAGGTGGCTACACCATCAAGCGCGTCCTTGTTGACGACGAAGGCTATGGGCGCTAGAAGCTCATGCATACCCTGTCGATAGCCACCGCTGTTAGGGTGAAGCTTACAGTACACAAACAAGGCGTCGATAATCATGGTCTGTGTTTGCTCCTCTTGATAGAATGGTTCATCAGGCAATCGGCGAACATCTTGCGCGATCTCAGCCCTGATTATCTCGTCCTGTCGAACAGTGTTCCACGGTGACTGGGTGGTATGTGAGCTCAAGTCTGCGACTGAGATGCTGGATTCATCTTTACTCACCTTTGGATCGTCCGTCAATGGATCGATAGCTACCTTGGCCAGCTCCTCAGGATGCTTGATGAACTTCAAGAAGTGATCTCGCCTTTCGGAATAGAAACTTCGCGATTCAGAAAGTCGGTGCAGCCAGTCTGATGTTGGATCGTCTTGCATCAACAGGAATGCCTAAGAGACTGTCAGCTCCAAGTTGAGATGAGATCAACCTCGAAGTTCACACCGACCTTCCAACAAATTGACCGGAGTCCCGAAATGCACGGGCTCGAAGGCCCATTATATTTGACTGCATTTTGCAAGTCTGACAGATGCGCTGCATGCTTCACTGTCTCGGCCCATCGTGTTCTATGAGTTGGATCAGTCGGTGAATATGATGTCACAGCTGTGATGATGCGACTTGCACTCACTGGGCTTCATCGAGCGTCCTCATCTTACAGAGAAGAGGCAATGCTCCCCTGAGACCTGCAAAATACAATCAAACAGAAGCAGCGGGACTGTCATCCCAAGGCTTCGAGAGTCCCAAAGCTGCACGCGATAAGGAGAGATTAGGTTGACGATCAATTGGGATGTCGTTCTTGTTGTGGTTGGAGGTGGCTGGAGAGGAACAAGGCGATGGCGGAAGCTTGGGCCAAGCCAAAGTACCGCTCTTCGTACCTGATGAGGTAAGAGAGCTCAGAGACCTGCGATGGAGGGGCAGCGACAGAATGCAGGGGTCGGTGGCCTGTTATGGGGCAGCGGGGCACTGCGAAATCTGCGACCGCCTGCCCAATTAAAAAGTACCCCGCGATCGGTCCAAGTCATGTCAGTGCCAGTCCGCCGGACAATTTTCGTGCATTTACTTTCTGAGAGTGACTATTTTGTCGTAAAGGTTTTTTCCTCTTTGTTTAAGGCGTGAAGATCCTCAAAATTATCACACACACACAAATCTCAAAATGTCCGGACTCGACACGTACAAGACGCCCCTCGATGGCAGATACGCCAGCGAGGAGGCCAAGAAGCTGTTCTCCCAGCGTAACCGTCATTCCACTTGGAGACAGCTCTGGCTCTGGTTGGCTGAGAGTGAGTGACGGAATTTCTCTCATCATGGTCTGATCAGACTCATTTCTGACGACTTTGATATAGGCGAGAAGGAGCTTGGCATTGATGGAATCTCTGAGGAGGCCTTGGAGCAAATGAGAGCTCACCTGACATTGACCGACGAGGACTTCAAGGTGGCTGCCGTTGAGGAGAAGAGACGGCGTCATGACGTGGTGAGTAAATGTGTAGACTCTGGTAAAATTTGCTCAAATGTTAATCAGCTTTTCACAGATGGCTCGTAAGTGGTTTATTTGGGCGTGGCCTCTTACACGGATCGCCCTGAGGCGTTGACAAAACTATTCGCAGACGTCCATGCTTTCGGCCAAGTTGCGCCTGCCGCCGCTGGCATCATTCATCTGGGTAAGAAATCAGTTAAATCTGCGATTCATGTGGTGTTCTTCATACTTATTGTGTATACAGGTGCCACGAGCTGCTTCGTCACTGTATGTTGCCTCACGCTCGCCTGCGTAAAGGGAGCCGCCTTGTACTATCTCAAGACTCCTTGGAACAATTTTAAGGGTCTCTGAGACGGTCTTGTGAAATAGTGGCTGACATATTGTATTACAGGATAACGCAGAGCTCATCCTGATGAGGTAATGCGAGAAAGATGACTTCAGAGGTTGAAAACTAACGCCTGGCAGAAATGCGATGGACCTTCTCTTGCCCAAGCTGGCTAAGGTTATTCACAACCTCTCCCAGTTCGCTCTCCAGCACAAGGAGTAAGTCAAGGCTCGATCAAACGGTTGGATCGGCGTAGTCTTGGGAATGATCCGTTTGCGAGGTCCTATAAGAGACTAAGAATTTCTACAGGCTCGCAACTCTCGGATTCACCCACTACCAGGCCGCACAGTGAGTCTCGCCCCTATTCCTGTGCCAAGAATACACATTGACATCTGGTAAGACTCATTACCGTGGGACGCCGCGCCGCACAGTGGATCCAGGACTTGTGCATGGACTTGAAGAACATCGAGACTGCGCGTGAGCGCTTGGCATTCCGCGGTGCGATGGGAACCACCGGAACGCAAGCTTCCTTCATGGAGATCTTCCAGGGAGACGGCGGCAAGATTGACAAGCTCAACGACCTTCTCTGCGAGAAGGCCGGCTTCCCCAAGACCTATGACATCTCAACCCAGACATACACCCGCAAGACGGATCTCGACGTCAGCAACGCGATTTGCGGCCTCGGCGCAACCGCCATGCACATTACCAATGACATCCGACATCTCGCCCACTCCAAGGAGATGGAAGAGCCTTTTGGTGAGTATTGGAAGGCTCTCTTGCCCCTGAATCCCTGCATTCTCAAAGGACTGTTCAGCGGAGAGTTTAGAAAAGGGGGGGTATGGATCGTGTCCGAATATCGGGCTGACAATGTCTCCAGAAAAGGATCAGATCGGTTCCTCAGCAATGTATGTGTGATTCCTAACTTGCAAAAGAGTCGAAATGCTGACTTCACCACAGGGCGTACAAGAGGTAGAAACACCCCGCGTTTTCTCTTTCCCCCGCTTTCGTCTTGAAAGGGTCTCAGCAGACGGCACGCATGTCCACATTAGATCCTTGCACTGGCGCCCTTTAGCAATGACCAAGACCATTCCAACGAGCTGACACCATTACTAGAAACCCCATGCGCAGCGAGCGTATCTGCTCTCTCGGACGCAAGGTTCGTCTGTCCGAGTGCGTGGAAGAAGATTCATGCTGACATAAGCCAGCTGCGCTCTTTGCCGGCCAACTTCGCGGATACGTACGCGGACCAGTGGTGTAAGCCCCCTAAACCCCCGACTCTGATGAAACTCCCAAGTTGCTAATGGCAACGGCTTAGTTGAGCGAACTCTCGACGACTCTGCTATTCGCAGAATCGATATCCCTGAGGCAAGTTCACCCCGTCTACGAGTATGACGTGAGACTAACCAGTAGTAGATGTTCCTCTTGGCAGGTCAGTTATGAGCGACTTGAGACACCTATATGCACTGCTATGTTGTCAAAGTTGTGCTAACATGCTCAGATGCCATCCTTCTTGGACTTGACAACGTCACGTCAGGCCTGGTAAATCATCCTGTTCACCCCTTCCAGACTCGGGAACAAGACGCTTGTCTATCCCAACCACCATGAAATATATCGCTCACAGCTACGCAGGTCATCTACCCGGAGGTCATTCGCGCCCACGTGATGGAGGAGCTCCCCTTCATGGTAAGGCTAAAACACACCCCGGAGAGAATGGTGGGTTTCGCGCACAAATTGGCTAACATTTGTGGAAAAGGCAACCGAGAACATCATCATGAAGATCGTCGCCAAGGGCGGTTCCCGCCAGGAAGCCCACGAGGAGATCCGCGTTCTGTCCCACCAGGCCGCCGACGTCGTCAAGAAGCAGGGCGGCAAAAACGACCTCATCGAGCGCATCAAGGCCACGGAGTACTTCAAGCCCGTCTGGGACTCCATCGACCAGCTGCTGGACCCGAACCTGTTCACTGGCCGCTCCGCGACCATGGTCCAGCGCTACTGCGGCGAGGGCGGCCCCGTCCAGGAGCAGATCAAGGCCTACGCCGAGTACATCAAGAACACTAGTGCTGCCGAGCTCAATGTCTAAGCTGAGATGGGCTGTGTTGGCGTAGGCTTTCTCGGACTGTGACTATAGCTGGCTTTTAAGTCGGCCGTGGGTCGGGGGTCACTTGCTTTCAGATTGTTATGAGAAGGGATGAAAAAGAGCGCTTCGGCGGCCTCGTCGCCGATGTGGCTACAGCACGTGCTATCAAAAGTTGCTTGTGATGGCATTCCGCAGGACAAGAAAAGGAAAAATATAGACTGGGATTTATGGATCGTCATTGACCAAGCGATGTTGAGTGTTTGTGTGACCCTATGCCGAAGACATAGCAAGTATCGCAAGACAACCCAAAGGGTACAACATAAAGGGCACCAAGCAACATATAGTAGCCACGGGAATCTATTCTCTCTCTAAGTCGCTACGCCCAACCCCACATGTTTTCGATATTGTTACACCAATCCGCCGGGATCCCGCAAAAGTTCTGGTCGTTCTGCGTCGGCGCCGCAAAGCACTTGTTCCCGCCCGACTTGTTCCGGATGCACACGTACGACACGGCCGTCGGGTTCGGCCACGCCTGCCGCAGCTGGCAGTCCGGATTGAGCGTGATGGTCGTGCCCTTGTCGCGGGAGTACCACTGCCAGGTGTTGCAGCCGGGCGAGAACCGGAACCCCGTGATGGCGTCTCCGCTGGCCGTTCTGTCGGCGCATTGTCCTCCTGCCTGGACGGAGACGGCCATGGCCGCTGCCGTGGCTGAGAGGATTGAGGCGAGACGCATCTGATTTAGTTGTATGTTAGTTATTGAGATTCAAGGGGGTGTTGCTCTTGTGTGCTTTGCGTGCGGGATGGGTCACTGACTGTAAAGTTGAGAGCTGTTCTGTGTCAGGCCTTGGACTTAGACGGTTCTCCAGACTGAGTGGGAATTAGGGTAGAGGGGCATTCGTCACACAAGAGCAGTTGCATGCTGACAAGTATATATGTGCGTGACCGAGATTGACACAGTTGGTGTTCATCCCATGATTAAGACTAGTTGACTCTTGAATTAGAGTTGCAACTCTTAAGAGGTACCATAATTGTCCTTGATTGCGGTCCCTAAAAGTCAATACAAATGCACTCCTTCCTTGAGTCGTTCGTCGTATACTCGGAAATGAAGATCCCCTTGCTTGAGTCGTGTAAGTGGTTGGAGCAGAGGCGTAGGCAAAAGCTTAATTAATCGTTTGCGCGCCGGGCTTGCCTTATTCAAGCTCAACTCAAAATATCAGAGACTGTGCACTCGTTTCCTCTGCCCAACATTATCAAAGAACAGCGTACTGGTTGGCTTGGTCGCAGAATACCTAAACTTACCACGGTAATCACGAGGTCACTTGCCAGCCTCAAAAACCACACCGGCTCCCGCAGGGCCCGACGGAAATCGAGATTTAGCAGCAAAGGCCGATGAAACCGCACTCGGAGGCTCCGTAGTCAATTTCCCTCGGTGTGTCTAATTGATGATTGCAAGTATAGGCTCCCTTGATGGAGGGAGTATTAAAGCCCCGGGTCTAGTTGGTAGCTTGGTTGCCACTTTTCCTAAAGCTTGTTGTATTATGACTTCAACTATCAAGTTGCGAGCGGCTCGGAGCTTTTCAGGTGAGGATCAGCATTATAAGTGACGGGCTGAGCGCTTCGCATCCACATTCTACAACCCGATGTCTTCCATCCTCAGCTAGGCTACAAGACCCTGGCTCACGACTCTCTTTAAAATCCAAACCAAGCCTTTACATTCATTACATTTCAAAGAGACACAGCAACAACATCCATCATGAAGCGACAACACGTCGCCCTGCCGGGCCTCAAATCTCTGGCCGCCGCCATCCTCGTTGCGCGCGTCGCCGAGGGCGCAAAGACCTACTGCGCCAACCAAGACAACGTCGTCGTGACGGACGCCAACTGCGACGGCACGAAGCCCGCCGACACCTTTTTCATGTTCTTTAGCGAAGAAGACTCTATCGCGCTCGGCAGCGCCGTCGACCCTCTCAAGACGGACCTGTATGACAGCGCTGACCCGGTCGAGCGACAGAATGCCAGGTTTCCTTTCGAAGTTGATGAGGCCAAGTTCGAGACTAGAGACATGGAGCCTGGCGGGTTCGGCAGGCGAGCTTGTGGAGGTAATGGCGGTGGCAGAGTTGGAGGCGGGTATATTGGAAGACCAATTGGTGGTGGCTACTATGGTGGCTAAAGTGGCATTCTTTGGAGAGGGAGAGCGAATACTTTTGAAGGTCTTACTGTTCATATTATACCACAATATACAGCCAGTCTCACCAAAGGCTCAGAAACCCTCTTGCCCCCTTGCCGAGATTCTTAGGTGGCCCTCGGCAGCTCTCAGCGCACATTCATTTCGACCTGTTGGAGACGTCAGTCACTATGACTACATATGAGCTTGAGGAAGGCTTATACTCCCATATCAGCGTTTTTCCTCCGACAGAATTAGATGGAATCTCGAAAGTGGATGACTCTCGTCGTCATGCTTTCTACATAGCGGTTTATCATTGCCCTCACACAACGCGAGTACGGTAACGGGTTCAGAACACAAGATTCCGAAGCTTCGTTTGCCCAACGTGCCACCAATAGCAGCATCTCATCGTTTCCTGAGATTGTTGGGATATTCGTAAGGGGAACGAAAATTCAAAGCGGAGAGACTTGGAGACAAGCTTTCCACCCCCTCTAGGCTTCGCTTTCGCAACTGGTGATCTAGAAAGACCAGAATTGACCGAGTCGCTCCAAAGAAGCAAGATAAAGTACTCAATTATGCGTGCCTAACTTATATGTGCCACTCTGTCATGCAATTAGCTTTAACTTGGTGTGGTGGCATGTCCTTCTTAGAACTGACCTCGTACCTGGTATATATCTCTTACAACGAGACTTCATGTCTCGGATAAGACAAGTTCAATCAAAACCCCGCTTCCTCTTGCGACGTTTGTGGCGAGAGTATGCCTGCAAGTTGTCGTCAGAATTTGACGCTTGGTTCCTCGGCCACCTTCTTGTAGAGGCCTTCAGACTATGGCGGGCTTTTCCTCGTCGAGAAATTCTGTCTAAATGCTTTATGACGGTGACGTGTATCACGATATCTTCCAAGCGCCTAATCCGCTCAGTATTCTATCTCGCCTCTCAGTCCGACTATATTCAGGCAAGAAAGAATTATAGATAGCTATCGGCGCTGTAAGATAGAACATTTGGATTGAGATGTTGTTTGATTACTCTCCCAGCCAATGAGTTCCCAGTATGAACCTATATCCCGCTGGTAGGGTGGAATGATGTCTTTCAATGTTGTTTCGGAAAATGCTGTCTCAGCCTTGCGCAAGATCCCAGAGATGCTTTTGGGTTGAGAGATTAAGTCTTGGGTTCGAAGATTCTACGTGAGGTATATATACAGGGTATGGACGCGCTTATAAGCCTACCCATTGCGTTACACAGAGTCCTGAGGTATGTCAAGCCGGTACGGGTAAAGCAACATCCCTCCCGCCCAGTTTCTCCTCCAAAATTCTCTACCCTCGCGAACGTGTAGATACCAAGTCGCGAATCCACACCTCGCCATGAGGCTTCCACTCCAAGGGGGGAGAACACCACTCCAAACTCTCCCTCCCACACCCTTACTTCTTCCCCAGAGCCCTCTCCTTGATGAAGAAGGTACTTCCAAAAGCAAGCACAAGCAACGCCGCCATAGGCACCATGGCCCCCAACGTCGCAACCTGATAACTCGATCTCACCTCCCCAGCAACAGCAGGCGGCAGCTCCCGAATATAATCCAAACTCTCCCTAACCCTCTCCTCCACCCTCCTCGCCTCGTCACCATCACTCAGCCTTGCCGCCAGCTGCGTCCGCAACACCTGCTGCAGCACAGACGAACACACACTAATCCCAATACTCGACCCCAGGCTCCGGAACAGATACGAGCACGCAACCACGACGGCCGAATCCCGCGCCGCCGCATTAGCCAGCAACGCGACCAACGTCGTCGTGATTCCCGCGCCGCCCCCGAGCGCAAGCAGCGCCATGCCGCCCACAACGCCTGCCGAGGACCGGAAATACAGCGCCGCGACCGTCGGCGCCACAGCGACGACCATGAGGCCGTACGCCAGTACCGTCAGTGTGTAATACCGGCCCTTGCGCTTCATAAAGTAGCCGGAGCTGACGCTCGCCGTCACGGAGGTGATCATGGCCGGCACGAGCGCCGCGCCCGCGACGGTGGCCGAGGTACCCTGCACAGCCTGGAAGAACAACGGGATGAAGAAGATGGACGCGATATGGCCCGCGATGCCGAAGAAGTTTGCGAGGTAGCACGCGAACAGCGAGCGGTCAAAGATGATGTGGCCCGGCGCAAAGGGATGCGAAGCGACGCGCATCTCGACGTAGACGAAGACGGAGAACAGGACGGGCGTGGCGGCGAGCGCGGCAACGGTAAGCAAGCTCGACCAGCCGTTGTTGGAACCGGAATCCAGACCGACGAGCAGCGCGACGACGGCGGCGACGAGCGTGGCGGCGCCCAGGAAGTCGATGCGCCGCACCTTTTCGCGCCAGTGGGCGTGGTCCGTCCGCGGGACGTCGAGGACAAAGTACACGGCCAAAAAGGCGAGGACGCAGAGCGGGACCTGGCCGGTGAAGGACCAGCGCCAGCCGACCGAGTCGGCGAGTAGGCCGCCGAGGGGCGCGCCGGTGGACGTGCCGGCGGCGAAGATGATGTTGAGGTACCCCTGCCAGACGCCGCGGTCGCGGAGGGGGACAATGTCGCTGAGGAGGATGGCGACGACACTGTTCATGCCGCCGCCGCCGATGCCGGCTATGGCGCGGGCGACGCAGAGCTGGGTGAAAGTCTGGGCGAGGCCGCAGCCCAGGGAGCCGATGGCGAAGATTGTGTAGGCGAAGAGGAGGCACTCTTTGCGGCCAAAGATGTCGCTGAGTTTGCCGTAGAGGGGTTGGAAACTGGTTAGGGTGATGTAGTAGCTGCCGGGCCATCACTTTAGTACTTTGCCTCGTCTTACATCACATACGAGATTGGATGTCACGATCGTCTCTGACGGGGGAGGAAGGGTGCTTCACTCACGATGTTGCGAGCCAGCTCGTGTAATTCAGCGCGTGAAGCTCGCTCCCGATCTTGGCATACGTCGCCACAGTGAGCAGCTGGTCGACGGCGCAGAGATAGATCTAGAAAGAAACGCCAGTTAGTCCATACCGATTCTGTAGCGGTCGACTCGAGCCGCCGCCGCCGCCGCCGCCGTCGCCCGAAGACTTGCGCCAAGGAGGGCCCGGGCTGGGAGAGTGGAACCTACGCCGATGCCGACGGCCGGAAGAAGAAAGTGCATCTTCTTAGCCATCTCCGGGTTGCCGTCCCGATTCTCATCGGCATCGGGGGCGGCCGCGGACGTGGCGCCGTTCTGCTGACCGCCGTAGTCGACGGTGCCGTTGCCATTGGCCGCATCCGCGTCGGAGTTGCGCAGTAGCGGCGACGTCTCCGTCGGAACGGAGGTGCCATTGACGGAGCCGGTCATCTTCGCGGAACAGGTGGTAGCCGAAACTAGTGAGTGTTGCTGGTGATGATGAAATTACTCGCGAGACTTCTGCTGTCTTCTCCCCCTATGACCAAAAACGTTGAATCGCTCCAAACAAGAGACACAATCACCAAATGCCGGTCGTATAAGAAGTCAATTGATTTCCCTATCTCTCCCCGCTATCTCTCCGACTTTCGCATTGTGGCCGACGAGGATTGCTAATCTGCCTCCTGCATACAGTTAAGCTCCGTTTCTGTCGGGGTCCTCATCGGATGCTTGCCCGCGCGATAAGCCTAGAAACGTGCCTTATCGCCTATGACGACACTCCCGCCGTGAAGCACGTGATCGCACAAGTCTCTCGGAGAGTGGAGACTGAAGAAGCATTTTGGGTCAGTGTCTCCCGTCTTGAGTCCTAAAAAAACAAAAGTCAAAGACAGCGATGAAGATGTCGGTCTGAACCCTAGCTCATGAGTTTACTTGGAGTCGAGTCGTACCAGAGCAGAGACTTTCTGCACTCAAGTGCTCGATGCGAAACCTTCATCGACAACGGGCGGCCGAAAAAACAAGAATGCGAAGACACGTCCAGACTTTGACAGAACTAGGGTGTTAGCCGGTGACTCGTGAGGTGGAAATGTAACGGCGTCGGAGATCAAATCGGCCTGGTGTGCTTGGCAACCCGCTTCATTGCTCCCAAGAACTTGAAGGGGGGAAAGCCCTCACATCGCCTGGCCTTCGACCGAATCGCCCCGAGCTTCCCGGCCAGCAATTGAGCAGTGGCCTCGTTAATCAAATCAATCGGCCGGCAGAGTAAGCAGGGCGGGCCAGCAGGAACGATGAAGTACCTTACGGTGTGACATTGTGACTGAACAGTGAGGGTGCTCGCTCACCATGACACTAAGATGTGGAATGGGTACGGATCGAATCTCATCTTAAAAATCCTGCCGGTGTGAAACAAACCGTCGCGTCTCTGCTCCATCCTTCCACAAAGGCTGCCCCAAAAATCATTTTAATGTTAATCTATTTTCCGCGATGCGGGTTCCCGCAAGAACGTAACCTGCATGCCGCGATGCGAACCATTCGACGGCTGGCTGGACTTGGACCAACAGGAACAAGGCCTTTGTCGTTGGTCCGCTGCAATGCGTCCCTTTTCGTGCCAAGCCCGTGGACGTCGCTCCTCAATCAAACGGCCGCTTGTCCCATTCGAATCGAGTGGTGCTGTGGGCGGTTACGAGTACCTATTACTCCCCTACTCCGTACGTATCAGTAGAACAGCATGGCCAGCGTTGTCGATTCTCGTGTGCTGTACAACATCTCCAGTGAGTCTAGTCGACATCGTCCCAGACGTTTCCTCACGAATGTAAGCTTTCAATAGTTGAAGGTCAACAGATGGCAGAGTGGTACGCAGTGCGACCATGGCGCATCCGACCCCTTATGTCGTCCCAACTTTGTGCATCTACAAGGAGGGAGACTGGAGTTCGACAATTTGTCGTCATCGACCTCTGGCTTTCGAGGGGCGGGCACAGGCCACAGGGGAAGCCCGGCGGAGGCTCGGCACCCCTCGGTCTGAAGTGCTTGCAAGGTCATCCCAGAGGCAGGCGTGTGAGACTCGGATGACCGAGGAACTCAAAATGGCTCAAACCTGCTGTTCATGCGAGCGACAAGGGCATTGCGCTGGTAGGCACTCATGTAGGTAGTGCTCCCTCCGGGGCACTGCTCCGGTAAAGCCAGTTTTGCAGCCGCAGAACAATTTCTCGACGCCAGGCGCAGCTCTCAGGGGGTTTGATCCGATGTTCATCAGACTTGGATTTCACCTCGTCTTTGCTAAACAGATCCCTCGTCAGGGGGGGACACGGGCAGCGCGGGCTCCTGGGCTTAGCGAGCCGCAAGGCACCCACAAATCTCTGATGCCGGACGGGGATTTGAACGTGAGATGTGACCCCGTCCTCGACCCAGTAGCCGTAAGGCTCTGAAGTCTGGTTGGCTTCCCTGATGCAGATCGCTATATGGCATGCTCGGTCGCTACAACTTTCTGTAAATGGGCGTTCTCATGGCGGCGGACCCAGAAACGCGAGCGGCGAACGCAGACCAGCTGTCAATGATCGTACACGGTCTAGAAGGCATAATTAGTTGACAGATTGCAAGGCTAGAGCTCAAGATCGTAGTAGTCTAATCGCGTGCGTCGCGCTATGTCCACGCACGGGCGAGACATCATGCGGGTTTAACCTCTGCCACGTCGAGAGTGGCTGGGCGGCGGCCTCTGTTCAGCTTCAACGAGACGGTGTGCGGGCTGCGATTGGTGACTTTTGTGTACCTATTTCTCCCTGCTTCGAGTCTGCAACGGTGCATTCCATGAGGTCCCACGTCCCGCTGGACAGGCCTTGATGCTAGCAAGTTAATTTCGATTCCGCAAACAGGCGTTGTGGGCAGAAACGGCGGCCCGCGGGTGGTTTAGCTTGGGTGCGGTTCTCTGTCTCTTTGGGGAGTTCATTCATGATGGCGTGCATAGTGTCCGTAGGTAAGTAGCACAGAAGAATCGAGGGTTCTGGTAGCGATGCCGATACCGACTCGAGCCAAGTGCGAAACGAGGTGCATGTCGCCTCAACACGCGGCATGGCGGCTGAGGTGCAGATAGGGTGCCATCTATCACGAGGATCACGGAGGATATGTACACGCCGCAAACGATTTGTCGTACAGATACGTCGGAACGAAATATCGGATGAGGGAGATCGGATTCCTGTCGTAGGAGCCCTGTAGACGCTTCATTTTGGGTACTTGGGTGGCCTCGCCATTTGGACTCTGTCGACAGCTGATGAATGAGGCCATGGCGTCATCTGGCGAACCCTTCAGAGAACGAAGGAGTGGAAAGAAGCTCATCTTGTACAGTCAACTCGTAACAAGACGCATTCTCAGTCATTGCGATGTGCGATCCGTAGTGATTAAACGCGAGCCTGGGTCGAATGAATACTTCGTACTGGCAGTCCCCTCCATCAGCGGGCTGTTTCAGCCTACCAACAATCGAGATGGGAATTGGAGACGATTCGACGAGTGGTGACGGAGCGCGGAGGGGTGGTTGACTGGTTTTGCTGGAGGCACGCCTGTCTTGTCCTCTGATTAATGTCTCGAAGCTGCCGCGACCGAGGTATGCAGGATAAGATTAAAGATGGGATTGAATCAGGAGCCGCATGCGCGTGAAAGCAAAAGCCGCTGGGCTTTTTTTGGTTGCGTGAGTGCAGACTCTACTAAGGTGCTCATAAGAGGATGAATCCGGAGAGAGGTCGGTTGAGAGAGTACCTAGAGTGGTTGTTCTGTTGCTCAATGCTGAGCGATTCGTAGTCGTAGTACTCCGTAGTGCCTTTTTGGAAAGAGAGAGCACAGCCCGGAAGGTGCATGGGAGGGATTGACATTGACAGCTGAAGCCTGAGGGTGGCTTCCTCTCGGCCTCCGCTGCCCGTGGGTTGATGATGCGGGTGCCGATGGTGGTGGACTGGCGAGGTGCTTAGGTGAGCTGTCAAAGTCGACTCCCATAGTGAAATTGGTGGTGGAGTACATGGAGACGTGTCAACACATCTGCGAGCCGCCACTCCGCCAGCCCCAGCCGGCCAAGCAGTGCAAGCACAAGCCAGCCCCCCCCCCCCCCCCCCAGCCCCGAACAACCCCGGCAAAGAAGTGTTCTTGTTCCTGAATCCTGCTTTGCAATGCCTGCTTTCATTGCAGGGCTGCCGATGCTTGCTCTGACTTTGAGAGGGTTGCAACTGCCAATTGCTCCGCACTTTGGGATGGGAGGGGCCGGATCCAGTCTGACGGAGCCAATGACGGAATTTGCGGTGCCACGATGCTAGGTGCGTACGCAGTCGTCCAGGCAGGCACTAGACGCTAGCAAAAATAAGATAGTGCCTTCCGTCACGAAGTACACTAAATGGAAGGATTGTGATGTGTTAGCAAGTACCTTTTAGCTGCTCACAACGCACTCAAGGTACATGTCTCCCATCGCCCATTACCTTATCGACCTTTGGTGCTTAGTAGGTATGTTACGTGCAAATACCGTAGCAGACACGCCGCGTATCCGTACCTCTTCGTACCAATGGAACTGGACGCATCTGCCTTTTCTGCATTGCTGATGAGGTGGGCATCCACAAGGTACTTTTCACCTTAAACATATCGATGACATCCTTGTCAATCCCATCCCAACTTCTCAAGTTCCCAACCACAGAGAGGGAAGAAAAAGTCAACGTTCAGACACCCGGCCCCGTCGCAGGGTTCTCCGTGGCTGCCAGCTTTAAACTTGACGCCGAACTTACACCCCCCTCCCCCCTCTACACTTCCCATTACCCTGTACTTACTACTCCGTACTCTCTCTCCCGTTTCCCATCTCTTCCGGTGTCATTCAGTCATTGTTCTGCTTCTGCTACCCCTTCAAGTTACATTCTTATCCAACCAACTCCTGGACACCTCACAAGTTTCTTCTTTCTCCTTACCAAGGTACCTACTCCTCATCCTACAGGCATATGCAGCGGTGCTCGTCGCGGAATCCTCGTCCACTCCTCCCCTACTCCTCTCTTCCAAAGACCCTTGATGCTTGTTCCTCCTAGCATCGCAACACTACGGCACTGAAAATACTGAACATCGTGGCAAAGGCAAACCCCCCTCGAACATCATCGGTCCAATCAACCTGTCGCCATCCCTCCTTCGTCCCACGTTCTCGAGTCCCACCAGCCCTCCGTGGTCAGCTTTTGCTGCCCTGATCCCCCCCTGGCCCTACCTCCTTGGTGATTTCCTCCAGCCAGCCGATTGGTGAGAGTCTAAGCAGACCAAAACTATTCGTACATCCGCAGGCAAGGTAGAGAGAAGAGAGGCAAGGTAGCAAAGGGGAAGGGGTACGGAATACGGATACTGCCCCGTCATCCCAATTACACAGTATAGGGTAGCCCACCGCCATCTGGGGGCCCTCGTTCAAAATGGACTTCCTCCGTTCTCACAGTCGCAAGGGAAGATCGCGCTTCTCAAAAGCCCTACCCACCCCTCCGTCTCCAAAGACCGAATCTCTTCCCAAATATAAGCAACTCCCTTCGATACCTCCCGTTCCTCCCGTCCCGTCCAAGAAGACGAAGATATTCGCCATGTCAGACAAACCGCTTCCACCACCGCAACCCCTCAACCAGTCTCTCCCTCCACTCCCTCCCCTCGAGACAAAAGCGTTGCCCCCGGTACATATACCGCGCCGCCCAGTTGCAAAGCAAGCACCACCACCCTCGGCCCCGGCGAACCAGCAGCAGCAACAGCAGTATTCTCCCGAGGACGAAAGGAACTCGATCGGCAGTCTGCTCTCGGCATACTCAAGAAGCTCTGGGGAATCCCTCATCATGTCGCCGGATGGAAGCGCAAGTCAGAGAGACTCGAGCCAGGCATATAACTCTGAACAGTATGGGACAAGGGAAAACAAGATCCTGACACCAACCTCGGTGTCATCTGGCGACAATGGCCACTATGGCGCACAAAAGTTCACATCCAACAAGGGACTGCCGCCTCACCCGGCCTACTACAATGAGCAGGCCGGCGCCGCTCCGGTCAACTCGGCACCCGCCCCGACTGCTGGCAGCCCGACAAGCTATGTATCGGCAGCATCGCCGCAACAACAACAGCGACCACTATGGAGGAGGAGATCTGTAAAATCTGATCGTAATATAGAGGTCCCAGATTTACACCTCACAGTCAGCCACGGGTCAACTGCTGCTTCTTCTCAACCAAACACCGCGCAATCCTCATACACGGCAACCCCTCCTCCGACCCAGCAGCAACAATTCCCCCCTCGCAGCACATCAAATCTTCCCGGCAGAAATATTCGTCCAGCTCCCTCTCAAAGTCAAGCGGCTCAAACTAACAACATGGGCCAAGAGGTTTCGCGGTTGAAGGAGAAAATCCATCATTTGCGCGATGGTCAGGATGGCGCAAATGTGGGAACGTCTCATAGCGACACTGCACTTTCGCCAACCCAACGCCTGCCGACTCCCGACTATGAGAAGGAGGATGTCAAAACGCCGGTTGTCGAAACAATTGTATCGCCCGTCTCACCGGCTTCCTCCCCCGAGCCTGGCCGCGATCAATCGAACGAGTCCAAGCCTCCTATTCCCCGCAAGGCGGTCACGGCGCGCAACTTACACAACGCTCAAAGCTTGCCTCAAATGCGCGTGGATGGGCCTGTCACCAGCAGCGAGGTCCCTCCGACAATCACGAGAGACTTCGCCGTCAGCCCCGTTAGTCCCGATCCTCAGAACCAGTTCCCGCCTCGGGCCGCACCCAACAAGCAGCAACAGCAGCAGCAGCGGGAGTATGTGCCCTATGCGCCGGCACCCGGATTCGCGCAGGGAGATATGCGAGCTGCCCCGAGAGATCAGCGCCCCAACCAAGAGCCCGTCGAGTACCGCGAGCTCAAGGCCAAAGACCTGCCACCTGCCGACCCTCGCGCGTCGTTCTTCCCCATGCAGGGTTCCGAGCCTCCCAGTCCCGGCATGATCTATAAGGCTCTGCCCCTGAAGGAGAGCATGCTCGACTGCTACGTCAAGCACCGCACCATGGACCGAACTCGCAACCGCAACTACGCCCTCACCTGCCAGACTTGTGGCAAGGCCGATACCGAGGACCGTTATAAGTGCCAGTTCTGCTACGTACGCATGTGCGGTTCCTGCCTGCAGATCTTCAACAGCAACCGCAGAGACCTCCGAAAGCTCGTGGCTCACTTGGAGGGTAACCCGCAAAGTGACGGCTCCTCCCAAGAGCGCCCTCCCACAGCCACCGGCATCGAGGCCTCTGAGAAGGGAGAGCAGCGCACAGATGATCAACAACTACAACAGTACCAGCAATCAGTTGCGGCCTGATTGCTTTTGCATTCGCATTCTTTTCCAACTCTTTTCTTCTTTGCTTGGCATAGGGAAATCACATGGCCATTTCACTTCCAAGCGGTTTTCAACATTCCCCCGACGGCCGGACTTTCACGGATATCGTCAAGGGGGGCAAATTAACTTTCTGCATTGCGGGATTAGATAGAGAGAGGTCGATTGGTTGATACCCCTTCTCGCCCCAAGATACCAATGTTTGTGTATAGGAAGTCGTGGCCCTAGGAAAAGGAAGGGGAAAAGGGTCACGCGCACATTTTGTTTGTTTGTTTGGTGGAAGGATTACCACTACTTGCTTGATGCAAGCTCTGAGCATACGAAAACGAAGCTTCATAACGAGAACGGATAAGACAGGCAAAGGGGAAAGACAGGTTACTACAGATCTGGAAGGGTGGGCTCTCAGAGAGCCGGAATTGAAACCCGACTACTTTTTAAAAAAAAAATCCTCAAGCTCGTATATGCGGTGAACTGTAGTGCTACACACGACCAGAATCTAGGGACACCAGCGAGACATACATCAGGAATACGTCGTGTAACAAGCAGAGCTCGGGACTGTTTCCACAACTTACTCATCTGCAACGATGTTGGGGCACGATATTCAGCAAAAAAAAACCAGGCACGTTGAGCTATTTTCCGGATGCACCGGAAATTGCTGCATCGCGGCCTGCGGACACACGAGGGATGTATCCATACGGACAGGTAGGCTAAGGCGAAACGAAAGGTAGGGAGGGTCTCATCGGAGAGAAAAAAAAAAGGGAAAAAAAAAAGGGAACACAAAGCTGAGATTCGCGAACAGACGGGGTGCCACTGTTCGGCTCAGCCCGCCGACGTTGGAGTCGAGGTGACCCAAGCGCCGGCGCTAGAAGGTTGCTGGCCTGCAGCGGGGCGGGCGGGTAGAGGTGGTAGGCTGTCCAGGACTCCAGCTGAGTCCAGCCAATCCATTACTACAGTACTCACATTGCCGCAGTACTTGCACGCTTAAAAGAAGTATCCCACTATCTTCACATGGACTTCAATCGAACCTGAACCTGATCCTCACATCATCGGCCCCCCACCGCCGCCCGGGCCCCTAGCAACCCCCACACCGCAAAGAACCGTACGGATACGGCGCGGCCCCTGACGTCGAATATCAACATCAACATCGCGAACCCGGCGGCACTTGGGTGAACATCCCCACCGATCGCTCTGTGACCCTCGTCAACCCTACGTTTGCGATTCTTTCTCCACCCCTCAAGCGACCGAACGATCGACCGACTTCGAGCGCGGGGTCCCCGCAACTACCACAAAGACGAGTAGCGATTCGCGCAAAGAAACCGTCGAGTTCCTACCGAGGAGAGAAACCCCCGAACCGCATGATCACCACACACCCCAGAGACCCGGCGCAGTCATGTCCTCGTCACTAGCCCGTACCCGCTCCCTGCGGAAGCCGACGCAAGGCTCCTCAACCGATCTCCCCCCAACGACGACGACGACGACGACGACAACCTCCACATCCTCAGCTTCGACCGCAGCAGCAGCTAGAGGCCCCGCGAGCTCGACCACAAGAGGAGGAGCAGCACCACCACCATCAGCATCGGCGTCCACGTCACACCGCCCCGTGTCCCCGAGCAGACTCCCCGCGCCCCGGTCCCTCGCCGCAACACGTCCTACAACACGTACTGTCTCCGGCGCCAGCGTCGCCGGCAGCACGGCGGCCACAACCGCCTCCGATGCGCCCAAGACGAAGAGACCGAACCCCTTATCGTCATTGCTAAGCAGGAGTTCCTCGACGCGTCAACTAGCGTCCGCGACGACGTCGACGTCGACGAGGCAAAGAGATGCGACAGCCACGGCAGCAGGAGGAGCATCGACCAGCTCGGGACCAACAAGCGCCCCCTTAAGCAGGACAAGCGCGCTCTCAGGCCTCACAAGGACGTCTTCGACGAGAGAACCGGGCCTGACGCGGACTCGATACCCCGCAAACGCCTCGACGAGTAACCTCAGCCTCGTCTCGTCATCCCACACCGCAACAGCCAGAGCCGGTACTGGCTCCGGACCGTCGACGCCAACGACAGCAAGACCGACCACGTCAGGCGGTCTACCAGCCTCAAGACGCGCCGCCGCACCAGGGGCGACATTGACATCGACATCGACAGCAACAGCAGCGGGAGCAGCCGGGAGTCCGACAAAGGGCCACACGCGCGCAAGAAGCGTCGCGACCCTAAACAACAGCACCATCCTCCGACCGCCGAGCCAGACGTCGTCTACCGGGGCCGCTCCCCCACCGAGATCTCGCCCGACGTCCCTGTACGGAGCACCTCCCGCGTCTTCCTACCCATCCTCATCGGCATCAACAACGACCGCGAGACCCCGTCCGCCCTCAGCAACAGACCGCCTCTCCTCCAAACCATCCGTTTCCTCTCTCTCTTCAGCAGCAACAACCTCAACGACATCAACACGCACAGCCCGAGCAGGCAGTATCACAACAGCACCCTCCCGCCAACCCCTGAAACAATCTCAACCACCACATCTCGCCCGCCAACAAGCCCAACAACGACACCCCTCCCCAACCTCACCACCAAGAACAACAAAACCATCCGTCCTCCGCCCAGCCTTCTCCACCCTTCAACAGCACTACTCCCCCGCCAAATCCCTCGCGCCCAAGCCCCTGACAGCAACCTACCTCGCCGCCCCGTCCCCCTCAAAACTCCCCGCCAACGTCGCCCTCACAGCAGAGACGTCCCGCCTGCAGACCGAGCTCCTCCAGCTCCACCTCCTCCACCGTGACCTGCCGCAAGTCACATCCCAGTGGCACGCCAGCGCCCGCTCCAAACTCGCCGCGCGCCACGCCAACCTCGCAAATTCCGCAAGAGACCTCGCGGCCCTAGAATCCGACGCCGCAGAGCGCCGTAACCTCGTTGCCCTACGCAACTGGGCGACGACACCAACGTCATCATCCGCAGGCGGCGGCGGCGGCGGCAAGACATCGTTCCTACCCCTGGAAGAGCGAATCCAGCGCCTAGACGCCCTCCTCACATCCCTCTGGTCCCTCGACAGCCCAGGCGGCAAACACCACCGCCTCGTCCGCGCCTTTGAGCGCTGGGCTTCCACCCTCTCCGACCTCGAAGCCGCGCGCGCCCGCGCAGAGGACAGCGCAGACCCGTCTGCACTCTTAGACGACAACGCCGACGTCCGTTTCGGGGGCGGTCTCGACGCGCGCTGGAAAGAGGAGGCCGCGGCGCTGGTGAGGCGGCTCGAGGGGTGGGGTGCCCAGCTCAGGGAGCTAGAGTATCGCGGTGATGACGACGGGGGAGAGGAGGACGGAGACGCGGCTGTTGGTACTACCACGCAAGCGTCGAGCCTAGAGCGCATGTTGGACGGGTGCGGCAGTCTCGTCAGGGACATGCTCGACGAGCTGGCCGTCATGGAGGACATTGAGGCGGCGGCGGTAGAGAGGGAGAATGAGTGGATCAAGAGGATGAATAGGGAAGGAGACGACGGCCGCGGCCGAGATACCCAGAGAGCCGGTGCCATTTGGAGAGTGATTTAAGGAACAGACTCGGTGTGAGTGGTCCTGTATAAACGCACACCACACGTCCATGTTACGAGGCAAGCAAGCGATCGTTAAAGGAGAAACATCCTGCTCAAGGGTCTCGGCGTCAAGTTCATCGATGCCAATGTTTTGTCTTCATGCTGTGTCGACACAACTTCCGCTTCCCGCTATCAATCGTCACTTCCGCTGTTGGTAATCGATCCCTCATCCTCCATAACGATGCCTTCCACACCCAATTACCTAATTGTACAAATTAAGTTGTTTTGTTCTGACCGCAACCTCCGTTTCTTTGCAATTTCGGCCGGCATACACCCTTTCCACCCTCGTGTAATCCGTCAAATCAATGTTCCAAGCCAGGTCAAGTCGCCGCCCGTGGCGAACTTCCACCATGCAACTCCTACAACGATGGCGGCCGTGCTTGTGACCAGCATCCTGCGGATAAAAGTCAACCTGTCAGATATTGTGAGGAATAATGACAAACAAAAGAAATGTAATGAGAACACGATCAACCGATCCACTGTGCTATGCGAACCGGAAGAGAGAGAAAACCTTACGCCTTTCTCTTGCTGCCGAACAACCGGCTAAACAGTCCACCGATCCAATCTACGAATAGTACGCGGAAGAAGGCCTGAAGCCAGCCTCCTTTGCTGTCTGTAACGCTGTGTATAGAGGAAGGGGTTCCAGGACGCTCGGTCGACGCGGGCCCGCGCTTTTTAAGCTGGCCTTTGTGACCGCCATCGCGGCCGGAAGTCGATGCCTCGCCGCTGGGGCTCGAAGCAGAAGCCCTTGCCAATCCGCCGTTCTGACTAGCACTGGAGCTTGCTCTGTCTTGAGGCGGGTCAACGCGGATGGCAGGGCTATCAGGCTCCGCAGGACGACTCTTGGGCGACAGATCCCTCGAGTGCTTGCCATTAGACTGGCCGTTGGCAGCAGGTGAATCTGAGCTTGAAGACTCTGAGCTTTTCCTGGACTTGGAGCCTTTCATAACGACTCCCTCATCATCATCGCTCCCGGGAGATGTGAAGACATGCGGTGTCGGCCGTACTGCGGGGCTCGGAACTCTGACCAAACCCTCATTCTCTCGATTGGCCTCATCAGCATTCGGAGTCTCCTTATCCTCTTCGGCAATTGAACCTAGGGAAAGGAGCGATCTGTCCGAGACCATGGAGCCATGTGACTTTCTTGGAAGCTCAAGCCTCTTGGTGGAACCCGGACTAGATGGACCTGACGAAAGGACAGCTTCCTCGAAGTATTGATCAGCACTGGCTCGGGCTGATCCAACTACTGGCGAAATGGGGGCGCCATAGAAAGCAGTCTGATCTTCGTTGCGTCCAGTCTCGACCTTGCGCACGGCGTCGATGATTCCGTCCCTATTAGAGGGCCACCGCTCCAGGGTGGGATCATTGAGGTCATATTTGTCGACATCGTACTCCACAGTGCTATGATGGTCGTAGTTCTTCAGATTTTCACTTTCATCATCGGCCGAAGGCTCATAGGGCCCAAGGGCTTCGTGGGCGAACAGAGGTGCGGGACAATCGTCCGAATCCTCTCCCTTAAGGTCCTAACATGGTGTCAATATAAGCCCCAAAGATACTAGTCTGCCGCCTCTTTGGCTCATACCTCATCAGCGTCCAACTTCTGGGCAGTATCGGCCACCTCAGCCGCAGTGCTCGCAACTTGTTCAATCGGCGTCGAAGACAGACGCTTCCTCTCCTCATCTTTGAGGTGCTCCACGCCCTTGGGGAGCGGTGCAAGCTTAGACATGTCGACCTCGGCGTCAAGTTCCTCGGCGGTATCGGCGACCTCTGCAGCGGTGTCCGCAACCTGACCAATTGGGGTCGATGAGGGTCTTTGCCGCTCTTCGTCCTTGAGATAATCTTGGACCTTTGTCTTCGGCTCAAGCTGGGCAGCAGTGTGGTCTCTGGCAGCTTTCGAGGCGTCCACGGCTTCGGAAGTTGAAGTGTCTTTGCTTGTGGATTGGTTGTCGCCGTTCACACCATTGAGCTGCTTCAACTCTTGAGACGCGGGTGCTGTCAGGAGATTGTTGCGATTGCCAGATTCGTCGGTAACTATAGATTAACTGCATGTTAGACACGGCCTCTGGAAATGAAGCATTGGGAAAACTTTCCTATGGCTGCAGTCTCATTAAGAACCCACCAGTCTCCTAAACCAACACGGAACTTGTACTCGATCTGCGTGCTTGGCCGAACCTCAATGTTCTTGTAAAAGGTGTGTTCTCCTCCATCCTCGGTGGTGAAGTCCATCTCCTGGGGCTCCCATTTTGGATTTGAGAAGGAGCCGGCGACGAAGATGGGAGGCTGCGTGCCGGGCTGCTTGTAGGTGATGGTGACGGAAACCATTGTCAACGATGGCCTCCGCGGGCGAGGTAGGTTGAAGTTGGGAAGCTCAACTCTCGTCGCCACTCGGCCAACTCAATCATGCGAGGAAGAGCGTTCGGGAAGGTGGGTTTTTCTTGGTCGGCTGCCCTTCTAGCACGTCTCAAGTCAGCACAGTCAAGAGAGACCTTTCGGGAAGGAGAACTCGACGAAAATGGCAGAAAAGGAAGCCGCTCCCTAGTCCCTAGGAACCCACAGCGAGGGTGGCGGATTGAGATGGGCAACAACGCTGACGAATGCGGCTGTCTCTGGGCGATACCTTAAAATGCGGCGCTAGTCGTGGGAAGCAAGTAGGCGTCAGGATGATGGGATTGACTTTTGGTGAGAAGAAGAAATGGAGGAAGACAAAAGGATGCGAGACAATTCTATGAGAGGAATTTGGAGTGGAGTCCCCGGATGAGTGTTTCACGCAACGACGCCAACGAGGAAGAATCGGGGGCTGCGTATTTTGTGCGAGTGAAACGGCTTTGAGGGAACGAGCTGGTCGGGGGCTGGAAGAGTACGAGGTAGAAGGGGGCAGAACTTACCGCAGCAAGGCGGTACGGAGGCCGGAGGAGAAACGTGCAGATGCTTTGAGCTGAGTGAGGGGAGCTCAGATAGCAGAGAGATCAAGAAGCCGATACCTTGTTCTGGGTGTGTGGGAGGTGCAGCAGCTCAGAACAGGGAAGCTGCGGCACAGGAGGGGTTCATTGCATGATTATTCCGTATGTCGTGTGTGCCATGTCAAAGGTTGGGGTGTGCCGGCCGGAGAGGATGAAGACTGGGAAGAGGTTGGGAGGAACGAGGTCAGGGAGGAAGCTAATTGCTAGATGAGTGAGGCAATGCACTTGCTTACTTTCAGCTTCCTGACTTGCCCGAGTTTGAATGCAAGGTGGTTTTGCAACTGGTGGTCGGGTACTTGTTTGCAATGGATTCTACTACCTAAGGTATCTCAAGGTAAAGAAACACCTAAGACCCGGGCTTATCAGCAATTGAGCTGGATTGCACTATCTGTTCTGGATGACACACGGCAATTGTTGGTCCCTAATGAGACGAGAATGGACCACGGAAGTAGGAACCGGTGCTGAGGCATGAGACGAGATTGCCGCTTCCTCTCTTTCACTCACACTATCCCCTCCTCCCGTTTGATTCAAGTTTTGTTGGCAATTACCTAGCTCCCGACCCAACGCTCAATGTGCACGACCTGGAAGCTCCCGCAAATCATTGCCCTAGCATTGAGTAGCGGTTATCAGCACCGCAGTCAATGGGCCACCCGGCTGCTCCATCTCAGCGTCGGCATGCTTTGTGCGTCATCATCCCTGATGCATCCCGAGACCAGGGGAGTCGCTAGGACATGCTCATTGGATGCAATTGCTCCCGTTTCCAAAGTATCGGAGACTTTCTAGTACCGCACGAGCCATGCAGCTCCACAGCCGCCGGGCTAAGTTGATCGTGGGTCCAGGTGGATGAAGTTGGAACTGGAAGGCCTGGCCCAGACCGAGACGGCAACTTCAGACATTGAGCTAACGGCCACCTCCATCATGCCAAACAAGCTCCGTGGAATGGGTGTTCCTCTTGCAATCAGCTGCAATTCCATCTCGAATGTTTATTTCTCAACCAAAGTCGCACTCTTCTCTTCCGCTGTCAGACGGAACCTACATACTACTAGACTCTAGGTCCTTGATCCACGCACCACTGGTACAGGATACTAGTCGCATGCAAAAAACTCCCAGCTAGCGCTTCCTGTCCAAAGCCCAGAAGTGAGGTTGGGCAAATGCTGAGGTAGTTTCGAATGTCACCTAACTCAGCGAAAGCGAATTACCAATGCCCATGTCTCACTTATCTCAAATTTTATGGCTACCAGTAAAAGGATAGCAAACCCAAGAAGCTAGCAATGGGGTTGCTGAAGAAGCGTTCTCGGATCATTTGATGCGTTCATTTGGCCGTCTCCCATCTTGCGTCGAGACCAATGACGCTTGTTCTGCTTTAAGGGTGGAAAGCTCAATCTTGATCGGAAATGGCGGGGCCTTCTGGTCTTCCATCCCCAGCACCGGTGTATTTTCTGCCGAAGGCGGTGACATTTTTGGCCAGTGACGTGACCCCCGATAAGCATTTTTTATCGCAGCTCTACACTTTGTCACTGCGCCCGACATGTGGTTGCCGTGTGCATTAGCGGCTGCTTCCAGAAAAATCCACCTGCCAAAAAAAACATCGTCAACCAGAATTGCATGAAAAGCAACGTCGCAACAGATCCAGTCTAATCTAGGACCTCTTGATGCAACCATTGAGGGCTTAACAAGTTTCTCAACACTCACAACAACTAATACACGACCCTGACAATACCCCTGTTTCCCGTGTTCTTCTTCTCTCACAGCCTCTAGTGTTCTCTCTCGCCCACCATGTCTGCCCCTCCTCAACTGATCCACATCAAGAGGAAGCGGGGCGATGAAGATGCTCCGGTAACCTACCTTCGTACGACTGCTCTCCCTTTTCTTCGAACGAGAGGCGAACAGACTAACACAAGATAGAACTCGAACCGGGATCTAAACGACATCTAGCCGGCAGCAGCTGGGTCTACCAGAGGCGTCTCGCCAAAGCAAGCGCCAGATCCGCTGCCGCTGCCGCCGCGGCAGCACAGCACCCATCGCAACCCTCCATACCGGTCATCCAGACGTCGAAGCCCGGCGACGAGATCTCAAGCCCACATCGCCCTCCTCACTCGGGCAGCCATGCTCTTCCGACAGGAAAGGCAGCGGCAGCGGCAGCGCCGCCACCGCGGGCCCAACTCGATGCGCAGAAGCCACTACCGCAGACCGCCTCCGATATGCAACGCCCCCAGAACCCCGCCACCGAGCCGAGACGATTCCACATGTCCAGGTCGGCCATGAGCTCGCCTGGAGGCAGCACGATACTCAAGGTCGGCGGTGTCTCCAAGCGAGGACGCTACGGGACGGCAGTCTTCGTAGAGCGGGGGAAGAAGAAGAGCGCACGCCGGGCTGCCACGTCGTCCGGCGGCACCACGCCGACAACGACGACTGCAGAAGGGCTTCCCGTTGACGTCGAGATGAAGGAGGATGATAAGCGCGCGCCGAAGAAGCCCCTTGCCAGACGGCCCCCTCCTTCGCGAGAAGCCTCCGGGACGACAGCGACGAAGACGCTTGACGCTGAACCGCAGCGCAAACCCATGCCCGGCGTGGCCCCTAACCAGGATATGAGCAAGATTGCGGCCGACATGGACCAGTGGGTCCTCCACGAGATCGGACTGAATCTCAAGGCCATGGAGCAGCAGCCGCCGCGCTCACCGTCCGCCGCTGCATCGCCTTCACGTTTCAAGCCCAAGGCGCCCGCTAAACGTTTTGCCGAGCGCCATCCAGAAATGGTCAAGAAGCTCGACGGCGGCGGCGATGAAGCCATGGCGGAGGCGAGCGATGAAGAGGACGAGAGCGACGACGACTACGTCATTGAGGTGTACGAGCTCGCGCCCTCGAAGCCGGTGTTGGCGGAGATTCCGCCTGAGCAGATTGGTGTGCTCAGGTTCGATTCGCAGGAAGACTTGGAGCTGTTCTACGGCAACGAGGATGATGATTCGGACCTCGACGACGATGAGGACGAGAATGGTAAGTTTTGAAAAATGAGTTTTCTCTTTTTCTCTAGACAGCCTGGACTTTGACTGATATGAATTGTGCGCACAGCTGAGAACCACTACACGGCGGATTACCCCGAAGACGAGGTCGATTCCGAAGACGAGTATGATCGTCACGCCTACTTGTTCCGCAACGCCAACGCTTCGGACGAGGAGGAGTTTGACACGCGGGACCCGTACGAGGACGAGGACGACGATATGTACGTCATGGAGGGCGATGAGCGGCGTGATGAGGATGATGTCTTCCAGGACAAGATTCGGCGGTATATTCGCCAGCACGGCGATCAGTAAGTTGTTGACGCTGTTGAACAGTGAGGTGTACTAGGGAAACCTTGAGGCTACGAGCGACCAAGATAGCTTCTTAGATGCAAGTCATGTTCACATTGCGTGATTACCCAAATCAATTCTCTGGTCTGAAGAGAACTGTGTAATGAGGACTGTGTGATGTGTGCATTTGAAGTAGCCTATTTATCCAACCTTGGAATGAACATGGGAAAAAGTGGTTTCCTCCACGTAAGTACAGAGGCAAAATCCTCGATTCCACCCAGAGAGAGACCCCTGAAAAAGGCCGATACCTCCTATCCAAGTTCCCGTACGCCAGCCGTGAAGAGAAAAGAATACCAGAATATGCTGCATGAAAGCGCCTTGTTGATGCGAGACGCCGGTTTCAATCCGTTCCACGGGCTTGAAAATGATGTATCCCAGATCTAGTAATGGGAGTAAGAGTGCCGTTCGTGTGTGTGTGTGGCTCCAGAACGCCAAGCAAGTATGTATGTACCCATATGACTAGAAAATCGTCGAAAGAAATGTGGTTGGAAAAGACTTCTCCCTCAGTGAGAGCCCCCCTCCCCCCAAAGGTCTCACTAACACGATCACGAGTTGACTCTCTCTACATGATGGTGCACGCCCCAACAGTCCGGCCCCGCCTCCGACCGCCGTTGCCGCCCTCCTCCTCGTCGGCATGCAACATCTGCGCCTCCCTCGCTCTCCGTCTGCGCCGGCGGTGACCGGCCCCGGTAGTCCCGGCTTCCTCGCTCGCCTGCATGTAATCAGCCCACCGGTGCTCGAGGCGGTTGGCGGCAGCGAGGTCCCCGCGAAGCACGCGCTTCGTGTGCTCGTCGACGGTCATTTGGAACTTGTAGAAGCACTTCAGGCCAATGGCCTCGGAGGCGTAGGCGAACTTGCCAATCTCAGCCATGGAGGGCTTCGACTGCGCGTTGCGGAAGAGGACCTCGCGGATGCCGGTCCAGGTGACGTTTTGGCAGTCGTAGACGACCATGTGCAAGCCGATCTTGGGCTTTGGCTTTACGGCGTTGCTCTGGGAGCGGTTGCTGACCATGAAGGCCGCCTCAGCGAGGACGAGGTCGCTGATGCGGGTGTTGTCGAGGTCTATGGCGCGGAGGCTGACGCAGTTCTTGACGAGCGGGAGAACGCCGCCGTCGCCGAGGTTCTCGCAGTAGCTTATGGAGAGGTGCTCCAGCCACGGCGCGCAGGGGGCCTTGGCGAGGTGTTCTGAGAAGAGGCTGTTTGTCAGGTCCGAGAGATCTTCGAGCTCGATGTGCGTGAGGCGCGGCGTCGATGCGAATATTGGCTCCAGCGCGGCATCCGTGAGGGCGGTGCAGCCGGACAGGCGCAGGCCCTGGAGTTCCGGGACGTTGTAGCCTAGAGCCTTCACGCCCTGGGAAGTAAGACGGGCGCAGCGGCTGAGGTCGAGGTGACGCCATTTCCTCGGGGGGACGATCGGTCGGTCGGTGAGGATGTCGATTTCAGGGTCTTCTCCGTGCACCATGACCTTGAGCGCGCGGTCGTTGAGCTCGGCACAGCCATTCAGAACCAGTTTTTCGAGACTGTTTGTCTTGTATATCGTCTCGGCGACTTCAAGGTTGTCGAACCCTCTGACCTCCCCCGCTCTCAAATCCTTCAACCTCGGGCAACCTTCGATCACGGCCTTGATGCCTCTCGCATCCATATGTACGCACCATGATACGTTGAACATCTCTAGTTGCGGACACGACTCGGCGATGATTTTGCAGGACATGTTGGTGACCGCTGTCAAACCGGTCAAGTTGAGCTGAGCGAGCTTATCGTTCGTTCTCAACAGACTGTGCAGCGTGTTTCGCTGGAAGTTGCGGCATCCCTCGAGCGTTGCGTTGACCAAGTTCTTGCATGCCTTCACGACTACTTCGGCCCTCTTGTAGTGTTCGACCTGAACGCAGCCCCTGAGGTTGAGATCCTTGATGAACGGCCCAGCGGCCACGATGATCCGTGCGAGTGACTCGGCAGGTATGATTTGATAGAATTCCGTGGCGTCAAAAGACGTCCAAAGTTGACCGTCAAAACAGATCTTGTGGAAAGCCTTGCTGACGCGGGAAGCTCGTACCAGCTGTTTGGGCGATAGGTAGGAGAAAATGTGCACGCGCATCTCGTGTGGCATGTTCTCCCAAAAGTTGAAGCCACGCTTGGGAACTGCCGGGTTTGCGACCTGGGCTTTGCTTGTCGTCCTTAAATCGGATGGGAGTCCTATGGTTTGGGCGCCCGGAGACTGTGTAGTAGGTAAGACATTGTCGACCCGGCGAATAGCAAGTCGGCCGTCAATGCCTACAAACTGAATAATTTCGCTAGATGGTGTTCCTGGAACGGAAGAAGAGGCACTGGCATAGCCTGATGCTGTTGCGCCTGCGGGGAAATAAGAGTCGCCAGTGAACGAGGTGCCCGCGGTCGAGGGTCCTGCCAAGCTCACGCAGGAAACGTTCCCACGCGGACGTTGAGGATTGCTGTGTGATCTAGCGCGGCCGCTCCTCGCCAACGAAGGCGAGGACGACATTCGTTGCACACCACATAGCACACGGTGTCGACCTTTGGCTTTGCCGGAGGGGTTTGAAAGGCCTGGACCTTGCTCATCAACTACTTCCATAGGAACCGGAACAGCGGGGATTTCGGTGTCGGCCATGGTGAAGACGTTGACCGAGCGGGATGGCTAGTTGGAGGACAAAACGCCTTTAAAGGATATGCAGAAATGTTCTAATGGTGCTGAAATATCTTGCCACAGTCAGACAACAACTGAGGCCGTTTGCTCAAAGTTGCGTAGTTTCTCCTGGGTGGTATTGTCTTTGTTGGTGAAGGTAGGTAGCGCGGGGCAGTGAAGCTGAGCTCGGTAGTCCACGTCTTAGACCCGGTGAGTTGAGTAAGGCTCGGAAGGGTCGGCGGATGGTCTTATTTCATATTCGGCGTCGCAAGAGAGAATCGCAAGCACAGAGAAATGCAGACGAAATGACAGGACAAGTCTCTAGGAAGACGGATGAGACATGAACGCGCGAGTAATCGGGGAGAAGTTGTGGTCTTGAAGGCTTTCGGCTCTCTTAGAAGGGGGGTCAGGATGGAGGGGTGGCCAGGGTCCAGGGATTTTGGTGGAGATCTGCTATCTGAACGGGTGTGAGCCGGCTATCGATAATGGAGGTCAGCCGGTGCAGGTAGCGGGGTGTGGAGCCTCAGAAGGCTGGAAGAAGGGGACCTTACGGGTTGGGGCAGAGCACATGGCACACCGAAGACTCAAGATATCATGGCCTCTTGATTCCTATGTGGAAGGTCACACGAGCAGGATGTGTCTGGGACACGGGCAAGGCTGCGAAGAGTGAGATATGAGGGTGAGAGGGTGGCAGTTGGCGGAGAAAAAAGAGAGGAGAGGTCGGAGGATGGGGGATAAATGAGAAAGGTAAAAGAAAAGTTGACGAGTCGAGCGGAAACAAAACCACTCACACTTGGAACGACACAATACACCGCACCGAAGGCCGGGTAAGGGAAGTAAGTAGAAGCTTAAAACGCGCTCTGGACGGATGCACAAAACGGCCCTCACCCCCCCCCCCCAATCCCATCCCATCCCATCCCACCATCCATCCCCTTTGTGTCGGCGAAACAAGGACCCTCCTTATCGATGGGTCCCGGGTTCGCCATACACAATGCCCATCACTCACACCAACGGGTCAGTCTGACGGTCGACAGTGCCAATAAATGCCTCCAGGGCCATGGGTCTGAATATGGCCACTGGCGGTGCGATGCTCTCTCCAAGGTACATCACGTTGGTATGTACAGCAACTTAGGAAACTGTCAAGGCTGTTCGGGATTTCGGCTGCTTCTAGCCAAGAGTTGGAAAACAAAGTGCCGCCGAAACGGATCAAGCTGCCTGGGATATTCTCACCTGCCTTTCTAGCCGGATCCAACAACTCTGTATAGCTGAGGAAAGGCATGGCGGTGGGAAGAGTCTAGAAGCAGAAGCCAGCTCCAGTACGAGCAAGAGGCACAGTGAGGGCCAGACCAGAGGAGGCAAAAAAGAGGCGAGACATGGGAACTTGGAGAAGTCGACAGTAGCGGCCGAAACGCAGGAAAGATACCTCTGCCGTAAAGTATCCACATGGTGCATCGTGCGGGGCCCGTGGTCCGGCGCAAAGAGCGGGCAAGTGGGGGAAGGACGAGGGGCCACTGGGGGGGAAGGGGAGGGCAAGGATGGGTCCGCCCGGAGTGCAGACTGGAGGAAAGTCCTCTCCTTCCTGATGCTTCCCCCCCCCCCCTTTATCCAATCGTTTCGGCTTCTGGTAAGTAAAAATGGGTCACAGAAGATCCCGACTCCACTTCACACAGCCATTCAGACCGCTGCTGACTGACACCGCACTTGCCCCCTCCAAAAGACCCCCAAGAGACGGGAGCGAGAGCATGACATGAGCACTTGCCCAAGTCACCTTCTTCCTTTTTGTGGCACCATCACCATCCCTTATCCCGCCATTCTGTCAGTCAAGTGACGTGCAATCCGACGAGACAAATTCCTAGAAACAATCTGTCTTATCAACATCGCCAGGTCATGTAACCTACAACATGGGTCGTCGACCATACCTCAACTCAACCCCGAGGAAGACAAACTACCTATGTCCTGCCGCATTCAACAACATATCGCAGGGTCCTCCGCCTCTTGATCTTTGCAATAAGCAGGGACCTGAACACCAGATCTGCAGGACGAATCCTGTACGGTACCTACCCAACAGTCCTTAGCTGGCTAGCGTGTTGGCTGGACCCTTGAACTCTTGAACGCACTTGGTGTGGTGTGTCCGAACCGACCTGCAGCTCGGAACCGCCGTTTCTATCATCGCTCATTGGAGGAACTCGCCTCTCACTTCTCCAACAGCCATGGCCGTCGCCGGGGCGTCTTTCCGCTCACTGTCTGCACGGCCGCGGCGCCGTCTCTCGAGCCTGTCAGAGCATTCATACTGTCTGTCCTGGGACCACTGTGTTGCGGATACTTTTGTCTCTTCTCCATCTGAAGTCGGTGTTGCTGGG